CTGACAGATGAGTAGTGATGTATATGCATATATGTATATACGTAAACACACATACACTCATACAAACAAGGGGGTTTCAAATGTTCCACCATCACTTAATGTTTTGTATAATTTTGAATTTCCTTTAATAAATTCAATGTCTTAAATTTGGCAATTTAGCAAGGAATCTTTAACAGTTCTCTAATCCTTGGTAACCATTTATAAATTTTGGTTCCTGTCTTTTTGGCCTATCTAGATATGTCAAATAAATGTCAAATCATGTATTATTTGCCCTTATATAACTGACTTATTTAATTCAGGTTACTGTCTTCAGAGTTCATCCACGTTGGAGCACATATTAGGACTCCATTTCTCTCTGGATAAGTGGTATTCCATTGTATGTATGTACCACATTTATTTATCCATTAGTCTGTGGATGGATATTTTGGGAGGAAAATCTGCTTTAAAATCATTACAATAAGGTAGCACAGGTAGATTTCTAGGTAATTACATAGTGACTTAATAATTCACTGTATGATTAATTTTAAAATTCTTAGGAAAATTACTATGGCTATCTTATTAGTTATATACGCACTGATAAGAAAGTAATAACTGTCTTAAGTATTTTGAAAAACCTATATTCTTAAAACATTTTGCTTAAAACCAAAAACAACCTTTCTGTAAAATGTATGGAAGAACTTTGATAATTTGCAGTTAGAATGAAACTCTTGTTTCTCTTTGGAGCCTTGGAAACATAAACAAAAGACTTTAAAAATCTGGTATTTATTTTTTTTGGAGGGGAGGGTATATTTGAATGTCTAAACATTATAGTTATGTGTTCTTTGTTTAATTAGCATTCATTTGAAGTACTTAATGATGGTTTCCACGTGTTATAGGATAGGCAGTTCACAATTTTACCTTGCTTTCAGATCCCGTACATATGAAAGGTAACTTTTATAGCAAATACTCTTATTTTGTAGAATATATTTTAATTTACTTCCATTGATAAGTGAAAATACTTAGAAGCTATCAATGCAAATATGTACTCTGAGATTCCTGAGCTATGTTTTCTCAAAGGCTTACCATCCTTTTTGCATTTAAGTTGGAAATAGCTGTTATTTTAGTGAGATGCCACACATCTTGAAGGATAATCTTAGAACATTTTTATGAGGGTAAATCCAGAAGTATTGTTAGTAGGCTCTAGTTCCTGCAGCACACACAGGTTTATTAAACCAAGCAAACATGCTTCAGCCTGTCTCTGCTCAGTCGAAGGTTTCATACAAGCTCTCTCAGTAACGCTTGTCTTAGTATCCTTAGAGTGCCTTCAAAACCAACCAAACATAAAAGGTCCAATCTGGACAGGAGACCTGATAGGACAGTAAAATTCAACTCACAGAGGTTTGTTCAGAAGGTTATGACAGGATGACAGTGGAAGCCCAAGATACCATATATACTCGTGTGTAAGCCGAGTTTTTCAATATCTTTTTAATTTTGTGGTAACATTAGGTGCCTTGGCTGATATTCTGGTTGGTTTATGCTCGAGTATATGTGTTATATTTATGAGATCTACAGAAGTAAGCCTCCTGTGATTTCCCTCTGTCCATAATGAAAGGATGGGAATAACCTGGTTATCAAACAGTGCATTGGAGAGATGACTATAGGAGATCAAAATGATAAGCCTGACTTGAACAACTGAAACCGTGTCACTTGATTCCCACTATGATACATGGTAGACCTGATTGGTTTTCAACATCGTCTGTGCTTTTGTTTTATTTTCATATTGCGGTTTATCTCTGCTGTATTTGGTCATTGTGGGTAGCCCTCTTGAATTTTTGTTATGTTTGTCTGTTTTTCAATGTATGAAACCCAGGATCGATGAGCCTATAGAGACAACAAGTAGAATAAGGGTTCCTGGGGGGCAGGGGGGGAGAAGGGAGCAGAGGGGAGCTGATATCGAGCACAAGAAGGAAGAGAATGTTCTGAAACTGACTGTGGTAGCAATTGTACAATACTGTTTGATGTGATTGAACTATGGAATGATATGATATCTGTGTTAGCTCCCAATAACACAGTTTTGGGAAAGAAAAAAAACAATAAAATCTATCTACATAGGAATTAATAATCCAAATTGGGGCAGGATTGGGGAGAAGAAAGCTATACTATCTGGTTTGGGGGTTAATCTTAATTATTTTTTTTGAGGGAAACAGGATGATCATAGGATCTTAAATGAAGAAATTTAAGAAAACTGAAAGCTGCATTGGTGAGAATTAAGTCCAGGAAAAGTGAATCAAGGAATGTTTTTCTATCATGACAATTCACCTGCTCATTCTCGCAGGATGGCAAGGGCTCACCTATGAGATTTTCATTGGAAAACGGTATCCCATCCAGTGTATTTAGGCTTTTAGACTTCTTTTCATTCATAATACTCATAGAAACTGTATATGAGTCCCTCAAGGGTGCCAGGCTTGCTGTTGGGAAGTGCTGTAAAGAGAACGCTGAATTCTTTGGGGGAAGGGTTAGAAAGTTGGAAACATTGCCTTCAGAGGGTATAGATCTAGATAGAGGATATATTAGGAAACAATAATTTCACATTTTGGTATTTTTAATAAAGATTTCTTCTTTACTTATCCTTTTATATATCTTTATAACTATATCTGAGGAAGCTTTTAAAAGATCTTAAGAAAATCTCATATTTTAATTTTTCCATGCTTTCCCCCCAAACCATTGTATTAGGAGATAATTCAACATCAGACTATTCCATAGTTCAGTCATATGAAGCAGAACGTTTCTTCTTCTCGAACTCCTAGATAGCAGCTCCACCTCCCCACCATCCCCCTTGTTACCTGATCACCCTTCTGGTACACTTTGGGCTTGATAGGGTTTTTAATATTTTCTGTGCTTTTTCTTGGTATTGAGATTGAGCTCTGTTGTATTAACTTTCTTGACCCTGTGTTGTGTTTTTCTGTGTTTTCAGTAGATGAAACCCAGGATAGGTGACTCTATAGAGACAACAGCTAGAGTAAGGGTCCCGTGAACTTTTTGAAGTCCCTTCATTTCAGACCTGTGACTTTGCTTGTCCATATCACTTCTGTTCCTTTTTAAGGGATTTTGTTCAACTGCATTTCCCCCATCTATTTTACCCAATTAAATTGATTATTTATGTAATCTTCTCTTTAAACTATTGGAGGTCAGTTTTTAAATACTGGGCACATTCAGCTTTGTTATTGAGCTAATCAGATAACATATTTGAAAAGATCATTTTTTTCCGAGCCATTTTGGAGTCTGGAAAATTAAAGAGCCTAATAGTATCTTCAAAAGTAGAGTTTTCTACAAAGCTTTTAGGTTCATGTTTGTATCTTAAAAAAATTTAGAAGATTGTGGCATTTTAAAAGCTATCCTATTTGGACTGAATCAATTAAACCACAACCTTTAAATGTGCTGTTCCTATTTAAGAAGTGCTTGCCTGTGTGTCTACTTATTTTGCAACTACACAGCATAATTTCAAACCCAGTAATACATTAAAAACAATTCACTCATTAAATCAATTCTAACTCATAGTGGCCCTATTGCACAAGGTAGAACTACCCCTGTGGCTTTCTGAGACCAACTCTGTATGGGAATAGAAAGCCTTGTTTGTTTCTCTTGCTGACCTGGCAGTTAGCAGGCACGAGTGTAACCTGCTATGCCACCAGGGCGAACAGTAGCCATAAAATCATTCTGGATCATTGTTCAGAGAATGGTTGCTCAATGAGCCATAACTTCAGTCTACCCTTGAGTAGCTCAGACTCATTTTGAAGGGGAGGGGAGGAGAAGATCAAAGATAAACTTAATTTCTAACAGCATCAGTGGACAAATACTGAAACATGTTGCTATGTGTGGTTTTCTAAGGAAGATAATATAAACTTCCATCTCAGTCTCTGACTTCATATCATTTAATTGCATTTATTTTCAAAGCTATTAGGCTAATGTCCTTTCCCTTTTCTTTCTTTTGTTAAGATAGTAATGAGTGTCTTGACCAAAAGATAAAGCATGTGGAGAAGATAGATCTAAAACAGTATAGCTAATTCCCAGTCTATCATAATCTGTAATGACTAGCTATAGAAACAAATGCTCTGAAATATTATTTCCTTTGAATCCCTGAAAAATGTGCTCCCGATTAAAAAATTATTATGGAATATTTAAGCCCTAAAAAAATAACAAAAACTAATCTACTGAGTACCTATAATACCCACCACCTGAACTAGGAACAAAGCAAGCTAGGTAGGGGTGAAGCCTACTGTGCACTCCCACCCTTGTGCACCCCTTCTCTTTTCCTAAACGTTGCCCTTATGCTGAACCCTTATTTATTTTTTCATAGAAGTACAAAGATTCCTAATACATATTATATACCAGATCTACTTTTCATCTTTAGCATGAAACAAAGTCTCTTATTCTGGTTCAAATCTACTTTTCTGGTCTTGTGTGCTCTCCAAAGGATGCTCTGTGTTTGGTCCCTGACACTGCCATGCACCCAACAGACCTTAGGCATTGCCACATCCATTTTCCTGTTCATACTTTGAAGGAAGAATTTCCCTTCATCTCACCCTTTGAAATCATACCCAGTAAAAATGCCCTCTCCTCTTCAGTTGAAAGTTCCACATACTAAAAGGTATTGCGTAAGTTTTATGCTATGTCTCCGTTCCTGTGTGCGTGCCTGCCTCCAGTAAGCTATTGCCTCGTTGGAGGACAGTTTATCTTATGAACACTGTGTTATCTATTATAAGCACTCAATAAAGGCTTGTATTTTTCCCAGGAGGATATTGATCATTCTGTTTTTATTCTATGATCAATTATCCTGCTCTATACCTAACCACTCTATAGATATGTGCCATTTCTGATCTCAGGCTCCTATGATAAATTTAAATTTTATTAATCATGGGTGGAATATCTAGAACATTCTATTTTGTTAAAATGTGGACATTCTCTTTTGTGTATTACATGTTTTAAAATATCAAAGATGTTTCTTTTTTTGTGTCTTTCAGATATTGCTATATGGGGATTTACCACAAAATAAAGAAAATATAATATATATATCAAATCATCAATCCACAGGTTTGTATTTTATTTGCATGCAACCTACGTTATTCTGTAGCACACACAGACATTCAAAATAATATTCTTTCTCATTTTAATGACATACTCTTTAATAAAAACTTGAATTTTTGAGTAGATATCATCTCTAACTCTTAAATTATTTAAAAATTTTTATAGAAAGTTAGAAATATTAAAGCAGTGAATTTTTCTGAACTTAATAGTTAATCTCTTCGCTTTCTTGGGTATAAATAGTTGGGGGTTCCCCCCCTGTTTCTTTGAATAGCTGTTTAAATAGTTTGCACATTCTTCTCTCTGCATTGGTAGAATAAGTTATGTCACTGGAAGTAGAAATGGTGGCTCAAAGTGTATTTTGTTACTGTTGCTACACTGCAAGCAAGTTGTACCATTATATTTTAGTATGTGAGTACTCATTTCATAAATCCAGTAATAGTTTCTAATGTCTGCAGTTGCTTTTAAAAATATAGATTCAGGAATTTGCAGAAATAGTACCTAGGGTTCTTATTTTCCCCAGTAGTGATATATAACTGTGTTGTGATTTCAAAACCAGGAAATAGACATTGGTTAAGATACGTTCTTCAGATAACCTAATACAAGCCACTTCATATCCACATCAAGCCTGCTTCTGATGCAACTTTAAAAATTTCCATCTTTATCACTTTAAAAAGTACATCATTTAGAAGCTTAAAGCTAAAAGCAACCTAATCAACAATCCTATTCTTACTGGAAAATCACTAATGCCTGCAGCTTTTCTTTATCTTTCTCCTTCAACTCTCTTGTCATGCTTTTGTTGCTTTTTATTCAGCATAGTCCATATTAACTTTAGAAAATTAGACCTTCAATAAGGTCCCTGGGTGGCATAGAGCTTTTCCTGTGCGTCTCAGAAACCCTGTCCACTGTGAGTCGGAATCGACCTGACACAGTGAGTCTGGCTTCTGTTGTTTACTAGAGTTTGGTTTCTCCTGTTTACTCGCCGAAACGTCGGCATTCTAGCCCGTGCAGTGGCACAGCAATCGGGTTTTAAAGGCTCATAGCCAACAAAACTCTATGGAAGCAGTTCGATTTTGTAAAACAGGGTCACTATGAATCAAATTCTGCTTGAGGGTAATAGTCTGTTTGTTTTTATGCCATAGATAAGGAATGGAAAGTACAAGATTTCAAAATGCATGTTTTCAGCTTATTAACTATTGCATTGAGTTATAGGACAAAGGTTGAAGCTACAAGGGATTGATGGAGATTTTGATGTAGCGTATATACTCGAGTATAAGCCAACCCAAATATCAGCCGAGGCACCTAATCTTACCACAAAAACCCACATTAGAAATGCACAGGAAAACTCGGCTTATACAGGAGTATATATGGTATTTGTGTATTTCCCAACTTTATTAGCCTGACTGATTCAGACTATTTGCTGGAGTTATGTTTGACTTTAGCTAAAAAAACCAGAGCAATATTCATGGTCCATGTCTCCTTATAACTCTAGTCTATAAACTATAAAGTCTAGTTTCTTCCTGCATTTTGATTGTTTCTCTAGAGGAGTCCTGGTAGCATGGTGGTTATGCGTTGGGCTGCAAACAGGAAGGTCAGCAGTCCCAAACAATGAACTGCTTGTTAGGAGAAAGACAGGGCTTCATACTCCCATAAAGAGTTATAGTCTCGGAAACCCAGGTGCTGCTCTACCCAGTCCTATCGGGTCACTATGAGTCAGCAGCACCTTAATGGCAGTGAGATTTTTTTCTTTTCTAGGTATATTGGCTTTCTTCACTGTAAATTCATTTCTTCCTAATCATATCTTGAAAACCATATACTAGAGATTGTTCTAACTTACCTAACATAAAAGTAGGTCCTCACTGAATAAGTCCTGTGAACTAAATGTATGTCCCTAAGGCTAACGTACATCTTGAGACTTATGTCCTGCCATTTAATATACCGTAATCTTACTATCAGAAATCACATATCAAAATAAACTGGATTTATGGACTCCAGGTAAGAATTGGCTCATAATAACTTTGACCTGCCCCAGATTTCCTTCATAGTGACTTACTCATTAATTTAAAGCTACTTTTTTTTATTCACACAACTCTATCTTAAAATTCTGTTTTCTGTTTCTTGCCAAAAACCCTGCTTTTTACAGGTTTCATTTAAAGTTTCAGGGAAGGGGAAAAAAAATGCAGTATCATACTAAAGCAGTGGTTCTCAACTTTCCTAATGCCACGGCCCTTCAATACAGTTCCTCATGTTGTGTTGACCCCCAACCATAAAATTAATTTCATTGCTATTTCATAACTGTAATTTTGCTATTGTTATGAATCCGGTGACCCCCGTGAAAGGGTCGTTCAACCCACAGGTTGAGAAGCTGTACTAAAGCATACCTTGTTATATTATGGGCTACAATGTATTTCCAGTGACTTTGAAAAAGCATACAGCAAATCTTAATACAGAATTGTTGCAGGAAAATATGCCATGTCTATTTAGTAGCTTCAACCCCAAATATGTCTCAAGATGTACTGTAGCTTAGGGACATACATTTAGTTCACAGAACTTAGTTCACAGTGTAAGACATGGCAAAATAATAATAATTTGTAATTATCAAGGTTTTGTGAGGAAGGGGGAGCGGGGACGGAGGGGAAAACTGAGCTGATACCAAGGGCTCTAGTAGAAAGAAAATGTTTTGAGAATGATGATGGCAACAAATGTACCTGATACAGTGGATGTATGAATGGATTGTGATAAGAGTTGTATCAGTCCCCAATATAATGATTTTTAAAAAAAGATCATAGATAATGATCTCTCTAAAGGGAACCAGAGACTTTTATAAAGCTTAGATATATGAGTGGATTGGGGGCTCACACTTAATTCTAGCCCCAGTCTAAGAACAGTTGTTCTGAGACGTGGCCTTGCTTATTGCTTGCCCTCATGAAGAGACTAAAGATATGGGTGCAATATCAAAGTGTGGTGAAGAAACCCGATGGTGCCCACCTAAGTGAGGTGTCAACTAAGTCCACATGGAAGAAGCACACTAGCCTGTGTGAGCCAAGGATTATAAATAATAAAACCTAAATCAGAAGGAGGGAAAAGTACCAGAGCTTAAATTGTGAACACTTGGTTTGCAGAGATATGAATAACAGTGTATAAGCCCCAAATCCATGCTTGGATTAAGCTTCTGGTCACTCTCCTCTGAGCACAGTCAAAGGTGGTGAATAGCATTGTGAAGTTGATTATGGCAGATGTAGTTAGGTTAAAATGTAACACTTTATCATTTGATCTCCCATTTGATCCATTTTAAAGTTAAGTTTTTAATATTTATTTTATGCTTTATTTTTGCTCCAAGTTTTTTATGCTTTCTCTAGTCATTGGATTTTTGTTCGTATGATTATATAATTGTAATTTGTATGATTTATATATATATATATATGAAATCTAGGATAGGTAGATCTATAGAGACAGTAACTGGATAGAGACTTGGCAAGGGAGGATGGGGGAATGTAGAGCTAACAACAGTGAGTGAGAAGAAAATGTTCTCAAATTGATGGTAATGATTACACAAATCTTATTTGATTGAACTATTAAATTGTATGATATATGTCTGCCAGTGAATGAATTAAAAAATTAATATCGATGATGGCAACAAATGTGCTTGAAACAATGGATGGATGTATAGATTGTGATAAGAATTGTATGAGCCCCCAATAAAATGATTTTAAAATAAATAAAAAACAAAAAATTTAATATCCCAATAGCGTAGTATTTCAAACCGAAAAAGGAGAAATGTTGGAGGCATCACTATTTATTGGGATGTGTAATAAAATTTATATACATCAAGTTCTGAGTTATGAATGTCTGACTCAGGCACACTCAGTACTTACCATCAATTTTAAGTAAATTGGCCCTCGCTTTGAACTGATTAGACCAACCCTACCTGACACTAAGTCTTCACCAACTTCCTTTTCTTCTAGAGGTAGCATGGTTGACAGCCTGTCTCTGTCTTTTTACTTATATCCAGTCTCTCTAGTTTTCAAGACCGTTTACCCTCTTCATTTCATTTTCTCTTACTCCATTTAAGCCATCTCTTTTCTATCACATGCACACCTTTTGACAAGCGTCTGGGTGACACAATGGTGACGTGCTTGGCTGTTCTCCAAAAGGGAGTCTTTTCAAACCCATTTCACAGCACTGGGGGGAAGCTCTAGCTGCTCCCATAAAGAACACAGCCTGGAAGCCTTTGGGGCAGCTCTGCTGGGTCGCGGCACTGCTCTGAATTGAAACGGGCGCCTCCGCACTTAACAGCAAGCATGCAGTTTGCTGGTTCCTCTCTCTTGTCGTAGCAGAAGCCAGTTCCTCCATGTGGAACGCAAACCAACAGCTTATTTCTTCTAGGAAATTTTGTGGTGGTCACTATATGGGCATTCTTCAGTTATCTGAGGGACACATACCTGCCTAGCAGAGTTGTAAGCTTCTGATCTCGATTTGATTACTCTTATAACCTAGTAGTGCCCTAAAGCTAATTAATAAAGATAAAATCCTTGTTTTTTTGCTGATTGTATACTAGCATATACAGATTATTTAGTTATGCTTGAAAGTTTCATTTTGCAACTTTTGACTTTTTAAAAAATAATAGTTTTATTGATATCTTACACATTCCCATTAGGTTATTCAATCATCGATGCTATCTGCTCCCCTTTCTCTCTCTCTCTCACACACACACACACACACACACACACACACACACACACACACACACCCTCCCGTTCCCTCAGGGAACCACCACTCCTACCACTGTCTCTGAAAGGTCATTCATCTTGACCTTCATGTACCTAGCGATCCTAAATGTACAAGTGAACATATGCAAATCTAACGTGAATCGTGAGGTAACACACAAAAGGCTTACTAGCATGGGGAGGAAATGTAAAGAACTAGAGGATAGTGATGAGGCCCATGAGTGCCATACCGCACCCCGGCTCTATCGTCCGTCCGTTCTGTGTGGTCCTTCTGGGAGGGGCTGTGCAATCATCTTGCAGGTGGATTTGGGGTCTCCATTGCATCCAACCCCCTTCACATTGAGTGGTTGCATGTCGCATCCTTTTGCTTTTAATTTCCTGTTCTTATGAAAAGAAAAAAAAATCTTTATATTTTACAGAATTTAAGAAGTAGGTAAGATTATTTTATTTGTACCTGTTGCTTTTGGATTACTTTGGTTATTGTGAAATTTGTGAATTCCCTTAAATAACTCCTTAAGAAATGCAATAAACAGGTAGTTTTTAAATGGCTGGAGTAGTTTTATCGTAATTTCCTAATAGTTTAATTACAGTATTTGGAAAGTATATACGTAATAGAATACAATGAAGAATCTTTCTTTTCCTGTTAAAGGAATGCTGAAGTTCATATGAAGGTTGTTTGTACACTAGTGAGTTTGGTTTTATCTTTGCAGTTGACTGGATTGTTGCTGACATTTTGGCTGCGAGGCAGAATGCTCTGGGACATGTGCGCTATGTGTTAAAAGATAGATTAAAATGGCTTCCATTGTATGGCTGTTATTTTTGTAAGGTAAATTTTTCCATGTTCTTTTCTTCATATATTGTAATTTATAAAAAAAATAATATATTGAACCACTTAATATTTTTTTTACAAAAGTGTATACTTTTTGGTTTTGTGTTTAATAGCCTATTCTGAATTGAAGTAAATTTATTTGATATTTCTAATGTTGTGTTTTTATATACATGTTTGATGACCCAAATCAAATTGCAAATATATAGATGTACAAAAGTAGAACAGATAGGGAATTCAAAGTCTTAGAATTTGATAATCATGCCATGAAGAAATTAAGAATAAAAGTAGTTATTGTTCAATAGGATATTAAAAATAGCTATATATATCAAGTGCTTAACAAAATATCAGGAGCACAATATGTTATTTATCAAGATTTATTTCAAAATTATATAGTGGCCCATGTGGAGGGAGCACTGTGAGACTGCTTTGCATTTCCAGGTCTTGCCAATATTCTACCTTTAATAGGGTGCAGTCTTAATTACTTTTTAATTCCTTGGTTTAGTAAATACTTGCATTTTCCTTTTCCGATAGGTTTTAGCTTTCCCAGTTCCAAGTGATGGTAGTACCACGGATTTTATTTCATCACACTGAGGATAATATACTTTCTCCTGCACAGACTGGTGGATGTGTCCTTTAGGTGGCTGATTGTTTTAGTGCATGCTTTAAAGACCCCAGCCCACTATCCTTTTTAATAACTGGGCACCATCTAATTTCTGCACTATGCTGTATTATAGCACCCAAACATCAGTGATCATCCCATATGGGTAATTGTGGAGTGGGCCACATTGGAAGATCTAGTTGACCTTTGGTTAGTCTGTAAACCTTAAAGTTGGAGCTTAAACCCATCTGTACAATGTCTTGTCTGTATACTCATTGACTTCCTGAGGAATCACATGAGAAGTAAATTTTTCATAACATTTAATAACTCCTAATAATAATGGTGATTACAACTAGTGTCATAAATCCAGCCAATAATACAGAGCTATCCAAAGACCTTCTTTTCCTGGAATGGGCAGTCAGCTTTGGGAAACATATGGAACCATGTTTTACATATATATGGAGCCATATGATTTGCTTTGTTTCATTTTTCACTTTATCACAGGTATTCATTTGAGTGTAGCAAGAAGTCTGTCAGTTGTCTGTCAGTTTGTCATACTGTGGTGGTGTGTGCATTGTTGTGATGCTGGAAGCTCTGTCACTGGACTTTCAAATGCCAGCAGGGTCACCCAGAGTGAACACATCTTAGTGTAGCTTCCAGACCAAGCACCCACGACGGCACAGAGGCCTCAGCCCCTCGCTTTGGAGGTAGACGTCATCACTGGAAACCTTGTGCGTAGGTTGGGAGCAGTTTCAATGACTGAAAGCGTAGGCAAAAGAAACAGAACATTGCCAGAGATACTGCAGGCAGATGGGATCCTCAAGTCCAAGGGCACTGGAAATGTGACCGAAGAAGAGATGCTGTCTTGGATGGGACGGAACCATGATACTGTGAGTCCAATAAAGCCTGTGGGAATGGAGCCTTTGGGCTTTTCACTTGCTGATGGTGCGTGACTCAAGGTAACGAGAAACAGCTACAAAAATCTAATGATCGAACTTGTAATATACAAAGTATGAATTTAGGAAAATTGGAAGTGGTAAAAATGAAATACAGCACACTAATCCTCGGCATTAGTGAACTGAAATGGACAGGTATTGACCAGTGCCGGGAATCACACAATCAAGAGGAATGGCGTGGAATTCATTGTCAGAAGGGAACTTGCTAACATGCGTCATGAACTACAATGCTGCCTGTGATTGGATTATATCTATCCATCTTCAAGGAAATCTAGTCAATACAACTATTCAAGTTTTTGCACCAACCACAAAAGCTAGTGATAAAATTAAAAAAATTCTACCCGCAACTTTAGTTGGAAATTGATCAAACATGCTGTCAAGATGCATTGGTAATTATTGGTGGTTGGAATGCAAAAGTTGGAAACAAAAAGGAAGGGGGAGTAGTTGGAAAATATGCAGGAGATCACATAATAGAATTTTGCAAAACCAACAATTTGTTCACAGCAAATGTTTTCTTTGAATAACAGGGCAAGAGAATAATGCATGGTTTAAAATCAGGAGAGGTGAGTGTCAGGGTTGTATCCTCTCACCGTACTAGTGCAATCTATATGCTGAGCAGATCCTCAGAGAAGCTAGCGGTAAGAAGAGTGCGGCATCGGGCTTATTAACCTGCAATATGCAGATGACACAACCTGGCTTGCTGAAAGTGAGGAATTGAAGCACTTGCTGAAGAAGAACAAAGATTGTTGCCTTCATTGTGGATGAAAACTCAGTGTAAGGAGGACTAAAATCTTCACATCTGGACCAATAAGTAACATCATGATAAATGGAAAAAGTTGAAGTTGTCAAGAATTTTGTTTACTTGGATCCACAATCAATGTTCATGGAAGCAGCAGTAAAGAGACCACAAGACGTATTACATTAAGTAAATCTGTTGCACATGACCTCTTTAGAGTATTGAAGAACAAGGAAGTTTCTTGGAGGATTAAGGTGTGCCTGCCCCAAACCATGGTATTCTCCACTGCACCATATGCATGTGAAAGTTGGACATTGAATAAGGAAGGCCGTAGAAGAATAAATGCATTTGAATTGTGGTGCTGGAGAAGAATATTGAAAGTACCATGAACTGCAAAAAGGACAATATATTAGAAGAAGTAAGGCCAGAGTGCTCCTTAAGAGGCAAGGATAGCAAGATTTCACCTTACATCCTTGGGTTACTGTTGGTTGACTAGAGAAACAAATCCAGGGACACTCGTGTATAAGAAAGAGCTTTATATAAAAGAGTAATTGTATTTTTTTTATTTTTTTAGTTTTCCAGTCTAGCCTGTTGGGGCACCATGCCCTGTCTCCAATGTCCACCCTCATCATTCCCTGGGGATCTTGCTACTCCCCTCCCCTGCTGTTCTGCTGCCCCCCCCCCAGTGCCTTGCCTCGGCGTGGCGGGGTCAGATCAGGCGCAATTCCCACACTGTGTCACTGGTGTTGTCCCCCGCAGGGCCATGGGCCAGTGAGTGGCATCACGTCTCATAGTGGGGCTGGCCATGTGGTCCTCTCTGTGGACTGGCTGCTCTATTTGGGGTCATCGTCCTCAAGGCCTAGTGGGTCAGGATGTGCTCCAGTCTTTCCTCCTCCCCCGTCATCTGTTCCTGTGTGTTCTGGTCAGATATATCCTTCTCCTGAAGCTGCAGATTCAGTGCCATCCTTTGAGATACATTCTTCTCAGGGGAGGGGCAGAGTAATTGTATATTAAGAAAACATCCCAACCCAGTCTAGATCAAGTCCATAAGTCTGATATTACCCCATATGTCGACACTATTCCATAAATTCCTCTTCAGACTGCAAGGACGCCGGATGCAGGAATATCACACAGGACAGTGGGTGGAAAATCTTGTGGATCCATTGGTGGTGGAAGCATCTCAGCACTGGCGTGGGTCTCCATCCACGTGGCTCTTCCAGCTCCAGGGATCTAGCATAGCTCCATGTGTCTTGGCAACAGGAATCTCTCACAGGAAGAGAGTCTGTATCTGACCTCCAGTGAGCTATTTATCTCTCTTTGTGCCTCCCAAATGAGGTCATCAAGCTGTGACCTGATTGACAGCAAGACGCCACCCCTTTTCAAGTTAACAGGGGATTGTGTAACTGCTACACTACTTTGGACATATTGTCCGGAGAGACTAGTTCCTGAAGAAGGACATCATGTTTGGTAAAGTGGAGGGATGGGGGGAAAATGGGAGGCCCTCAATGAGATAGATTCACATAGTGGCTTCCTCACTGGGTTTAGTCATAGGAACAATTGTGAGGACGGTGCAGGACTGTGCAATGTTTGGTTTTCTTGCACAGAGAATCGCTATGGGTCGGAACGGACTCAATGGCACCCAACCAGAAGAAGAAGAAGGAGTATTAGCAATGGCATGAACTCCACCCTGTGCTAAGCTCTCCCTACCTTTATTACTTACCTCTGGTCATTAGTCACTTTTGCACAGGGACGTGACTGTTGGGTTAGATAAGCATTTCATATAGTGTTATCTTAGATGCCAATTAAAATAGCTATTTACTGTGTAGATTTGTCTCCATCTCCCAGGCTGCTCATTGAGTGTGTTTCTCCGAAATAAATTGAATTCTTCAAACAGCACAACCCCCCCCCCCCCAAAAAAAAGTGGTCTTGCTAGTTGATCTAGAGTTCTATACCATGGTTTAATTTAAAAGTAGCTTTTAGGTAACAGTTTTTGTCACGGCTCACTGTTAAACCCCTCCTTTTAATATAAAGTAAATACCCTTTCTACCTTTTCTTCTAGGCCCAGTTTGGGGGCCACCATGAAATGCTGAGCCTGGTGGCTACTTTTCACCATCTTACTTTTGATTTCGACTTATCTTAATGATAGCACTTACCGACTTTATTAAATAGATCTAGATAGCTGACTTCCTCAGTCATTTGTAAGTTCTTTAAAGAAAGATACTTGGTCTTCAATTCTATATCTAGGAATGAGGGAAACATACTTTATATGCTTTAGAATTACAATAGGTTTTAAAAAGAAGATTAAATGATTGAAAAAGGAATAGAATGTAAAGGAATACCATGTTTGAGGAAACATTATGTCATCTTTATTTTTAAAGAGTTGTTGAAACATGAATTTACTCTAAGCAGTTATTTCTCTATTTGGGTAAACAGTGGCACGAGTTGTATGGAGTTTATCTGCACTCGGGTGAGTCAGTTCATTGGATATGATCCAGGAGTAGAAGCCAAGGCCACCTAGCGTCTTTGCCTGCACACTGTCGACCTTTATGTTTCCTTCACTCATCTTTGTCTTCACCGAGAAAAGCAAGCAAGCTCACTGCCATCGAGCCAGTGCCATTGACAGCAGCCCTCTGGGACGGGAGAAGTGCCGCTGTGGGTTTTCAGACTGTGGCTTTGTGCCATTTTCTTTACACTGTACAGTATTCTGGCAACATCAAACTTGATCAATTTATCTAGATTGTGGAGTATATTTATGTAGAAATATTAAAGTTACTCGAGGTCTTTAATAAAAATAATTCTTACAGGTTTGTGTGTAGCAAAGCGTACACAAATTGAACAGGTTTTACGTGTGCAATCTAGTTACACTGACTACATTCTTAACATTGTATAAGCACTCTCACTGTCGTGTCTTCCCTTATTCCCCCATTATTATCGTGATCTTACTGTCAACCTAAAGCTTGTCACCCAGTCTGTTGAGTTGCTGTTGTCCATGAGATCTTATGTAGGATAATTCTTGAAAAGAGCACGGGGTTTAAGGCAGACATTGTTTATACGTAAATGCTGAACTGTTGTTTGGAATAGTTTATATTTAAGGCTTCAAGTTTATCTCAGGGAATAGTTTTGGAAGGGTCTTTCAGTTTCAATGGTTCAAAAGTTTAGAATCTGAGAATTTGAATTTCTTGTTCCATATTTTCTTCCCTTTTGATCAGGAAATTATTTAGGAGAATTCCCCTAAATAATTTCTGGTCAGAATATTCTGTCGTGGTTGCCAGACACCATCCAGTTGTTTTGATGTCTTGAAAAATAAGGCAGTTGTTCATGGATGCAATTTGAGAAACGCTACAGTTCCTTCTCCTACTTCAGGAGCCCTGATAGAGTAGAGTAGTGGTTATGCTTTGGGCAGGGATCTGCATGATCAGCAGTTCAAAATCAGGGGTTGCTATGATTCAACATTGACTCAGTGGCAGTGAATTTGTTTTGTTTTTTTGTCTTCATATACTGTTTCTCCAGGGAAATACAGACCAGATCAGATATTTTATTTTAATCTATTATTAATTGGGAGTTAATACATAAATCATTCCATAGTTCAATCACGTCAAGCAGTGTTATGTAATTGCTACCACAGTCACTTTCCAAACATTCTTTTCTTCCTGTACTCCTTGACATTCTCTCCCTTTTACCCTTCCCCACACGACTCTATACGCCCCCTCTCCTCGCCCCTGCCCAAACCCTTATTCTACTTGCTGTCCTTAGAGGTTCATCAGTCCTGGGTTGCTTCTACCGAAAGACAGAAAGACATATAACACAACTTCAAAACGGTGACCTCCGTGACTTCACACCTCTGAGATAAGTTCTAATACGAACAAAGAAAAACAAAACAAAAATAGAGAAATGTTGAAAACCAAATCAGGTCTAGCCTACATCAGAGGGGGATCAAAATTGTTCAAGCCAGGTCTATCCCTTTGGTCTTTTGTCGAGTGCGCTGTTTAGTAACCATTTTCCTTTCCCCCCATCCCTCAATTATGGATGGAGGGCGATCACTGGAGGCTTATTTCCTGTGTAGGCTCCACAAATGTATCTTGGGCCCCCACTGTCATCCATAGTCGTCTGCAAACCAGATTCTCACAATTCAGGCTCTGATACTAATCCTTCCTTCGATTTCGTATTATATGGATTACAACCCTTCAGTGACTGATGATGGTGTGCTCTTCCATGTGGACTTAGTTGATGACTACTTGCTTGGAGACAAGCCTGAAAGACCCCAGACACTACTTTATCTGATAGCTGGGCACCATCTAATTGCTTCACCACATTTTGCCATGGCGCCCATGTCTTCTGTGTCCCTTCCTGAGGGTGAGTATTGAGAAGCACCATGATGTAAGCACTAACTGTTCTTAAGTTGGAGGTAGGATTTAGTGTGAGCCCAAAACACATTCCTGGATGTATATTTGTTTATTTGCTTGGCTTTTTTTTTATCAGCCTTTGACTCCTTTTCAAACCCTCCCTATTAATTTACAGTAGAGTTATGCCCCCTGGGGCATAACAATCTTCCATTAAAATTGTCTTTGATTAGCCCCTGGTATTAATTTTCTTAAAGCCCTGTTGAGAAATTGTTATTGGGCCAATATAGGCTAATTCTATATCACAGTACCTGAATTATTCACTTGTACAGAATCAATTATTTTGGGGATGGGTGCTAATTACACAAACAGTGGGGGTTAATTGTAAGGTCAATTTACAGTAAGAGTCACTGAGAATGTCACAGGTTTGCTGGAATAATACATATTTTAATACAGCATATAGGGCATTGATGTAGCAAGACCATGTCTGTCTGCCTACCAACCGTTCAACAGTCTTGTTACGGCTGTCTTCTGCTTCCTGAGACACATGTATTTTCTGACTGAAGTCCTCAGGTTACAAGTGTGTCTGAGGTACAGTTCACCCACATAGTGGAGTTTCTGCAATGGATCTCACTGATGCAGCCTCTGGAGCATGCAGTGCTCCTTGAAGATCCAGGGTTAATGCAGCCCATTCGGTGCGTACCACCAAAGACACTACCCCGCTAAGGTTCCCAAAAGCATGTTCAGTCACTTATACCCCCAGAGGTGTTTGCTCCCTCATCCCTTTAATAGGGCTGTCTACCTTTCCCGTGTTCTTTGCCTATCCTGGGCTTCTTCCCTCTCCATATGAAGTTGGTAACTAATTTTTCCATTTCTTTAAAGAACAATGCTGAAATTTGGATTGGGATTGCATTGAATTTGTAGATTGCTTTAGGTAGTTTTTCCAGCCATGTTTATTGAAGAGAGTATCAGCTTCCCATTTAATGCTTATTGAGCCTTTGCCAAAAATCAGTCGTGAGTGTGTGGATGTTTTTATTTCTGGGTTTTCTGTCTTCATCAGTTGATCCATGTAGCTGTCATTAAGCAGTACCAAGGCCATTTGGACAACGGTGGCTGTACAATAGGTTTTGAGGTCAGGTGGTAGTACACAACCACCTACTTTATTCTTTTTGAGGAGTTCTTTAGGTAGTATTGACATTTTCACAAGAATGATTCTTCTGATCCACGAACACAGGATATTCTTCCATTGTGTAGATCCCTTTTAGATTCCGTTGAGGATTTTTGCATCGTATGTTCTTGAGGGATATTGGTCTGTAGTTCTCCATCCTTGTGGGGTCTTTGCCTGGTTGGGGTACCAGGGTTGTGCTGGCTTCATAGAACGAGGGTGGGAGTTTGCTGTCCATTTCTCTGATCTGGAAGTTTGTTTAGGATTGGTGTCATTCTTCTTGGAATATTTGATAAAATCCTGTGAAGCCATCTCGACTGGAGCTTCTTTCAGTTGGGAGTTTCTTGATGACCTTCTCTGATATATTCTTTATTGGTTTTTTTTGGACACTATTTTTTTAGAGAACTTTCAGGTTTGCAGAAAAAAATTTGAATTAACTTCCCATATTCGCCTTCTGCTCCCTGTTCTTATGATCTTTTATTAATATCACTTTAAGTTAGTGAAGTACATTTGTTAGAATTGATAAAGAAGTATTAGTATATTATTATTAACAAATGTCTCTAGTTTGCATTAGGATTCACTCTTTGTTGAATATAGTTCACCAAATTTTGACAGCTACATACTGCCATAAATCTGCTGTTACGGTATTGTACAGAATAGTTTTACTGTCCTTAAGATGCCCTGCTGGGACCTCATCCTTCTCCAGTCTGAACCCTGGAGACTAACTTCATGTTTACAAAAAGGCCACCTAGGTATCTGAATCTGGACCAATATTTTAAATACCTGATGATTAAGAGTATTGATATTTTAAGGAATTTTTTTAGTTATCTTAGTGCCGTGTTGCTATATAGAATATGAATTCAGTGTTATATTTTTCATACAATGTAGCAATATAATTTTATTTAAATTATGTTAAAACAAAATAATTCCAGTTATGTTACTATTTGAATTATTGAATATTGTTTGTATTTGAAAGTGTAATTTTATTTTTTAAAGTTGCCTTTGTAATGACTATAGCCATTTGATATTTTAAAAGCAAATACTTTGTTTTCTTCAACTTTCAAAAATTTTATTTGGCAGCATGGTGGGATCTTTGTAAAGCAAGGTGCCAAATTTAACGAAAAAGAAATGAGAAACAAGCTGCAGAGCTACGTGAATACAAGAACGCCGGTAAGATCATGCTTCATTTTTATTACCTCTATCGACTCTCAGTCTTTTCATTTGAGAATTAACTTAAAGTTAATTAGAATTGTTTTGAAAATATATTGTCTCATGCACTGCAAATCAGGTTTGACAACAAAAGTCCTCAAAATATAAATAAGCCGTTCTTTTTGGCCATCATAAAGAGTCCTGAAATTACTAGATTCTTTGCTTGTGGTTGTCAACGCTGACAGTAGAGAGGAACACAGAGAGCACTTGGTGTGGTTTAGAATCTGCGAGTAGAAAAGAGAATTGTACTTGCGATGTGACACTGCAGCTATCTGAACGCACCTCACTCGGTGTCCTGTTGTATCAGATTTCTTTTTAAAGAAGTGATTTTCTTTTCTCTCATAAGTTTGGATTTCTTATATAAAATTCAGTTATTTCAAAGGCCAAAACATTATGACTATGTACAAAGAATTAGTCAATGTGAATATTATTTTATAGACCTTTACTCCTCAAATAAGAGGAATTAAAATTTTCTATTTAAAGTGCCAATTCCTGCGAAATGACTATTCCTGACTCCTTTGTAGGGTGTAATGCCTGTGCTTTGTTTATCGGGGCCGTAGTTATGTTTTGTTGCTCAGAAACTTTATTTTGTGTGTCCAGGTTCCTTTATTCTGGCCCTCTCTGTCCTTCGCCGCCGTCCCCCTGCTTCTCTCCTTGTCCTCCTCCCTTCTCCTTCCCCCTCCCTCCCTGCCTCGCGTGTTCGCCCCATCTCGCACCCATGCGCACAGGTTGCCAGAGCCCGTGTTTCAAGAACACGTTTCCGTAATCTACTGGTGAATAACCCTCACATAATTTAAATTAAAAAAATACAAACAAACACTTTTTAGCTTTTAGATGGCAATATTCCAGTATCGGCATGATCTGTAGTAGGATGAAATGAGATAAACAGTGCATTGTATCCTGTTGCGGTTTATCTTTGAGGACAAGCATGGTGCTTGAATGGCTTTGTTTAGACCAAAATAACTTGAGAAAATTGGGCAGAATTGGGGTCTTTGCTTCTATATAAATCAACAGAAGAATATAATTGATTGCTGATACGAGTATCTACATTTCATGAATAGTTTTTTTGGGGGGCGTTTCTTAAAGCTCTTATCACAATCCATACATATATCCATTGTGTCAAACACATCTGTACATATGTTGTCATCTTTTTCAAAACATTTTCTTTCAACTTGAGCCATTGGTATCAGCTTTTCATTTTTTTCTCCCTCCTTCCCCCATGTCCCCTTGAGAATTGGTACTTTTTTTTTCTTCATGCCTTACACTGACCACTGTCTCCTTTCACCCACTTTTTCTGCTGTCTGTCCCCCTGGGAGGGGGACATATATCCATTATTGTGATCAATTCCCCCTACTCCCCCCACCCCCTTCCTTTATCCTCCTAGTAACATTGCTCCCCTTATTGGTCCTGAGGGGTTTATCTGTTCTGGATTTCCTGTGTTGCGAGTTCTTATCTGTACCAGTATACATGTTCTGGTCTAGCTAGATTTGTAAGATAGAATTGGGGTCATGATAGTTGGGAGAGGTGGGGGAGCAGGGAAGGAAGCATTAGAGAACTAGAGGAAGGTTGTGTGTTTCATCAGTGCTATACTGCACCCTGACTGGCTCATCTCTTCCTTGTGGCCCTTCTGACAGGGGGTGTACACTTGACTACTGATGGGATTTGGGTCTCCACATTGTTTTCCCCTCAAGTGACCATGAGGTGTCTGGGATCAGGTATCAGGCATCAAGGACCCAAAACAAAACAAACAAATAAAAACCCTTGAATAATCTCTGTCATCTCATCTCCAGCTATACATAACTACTGTTCAGTTTCTTGTGTTGTCTTTGGAAACCTTGCAGATATATATATACATATATATCAGTTCTTATATAAATGTTGTGTTTGTGTTCTATACACATGTCTTTAACCATACTACATTTTTCAGTGAACACAGTTGAGATTTTTCAAATTAATATCCACAAAGATTTAGTTCACATATTTTTAATGGGTGCATAGTCTTAGTATATCTCTATTTTAATTTATTTAACCAGACCTTTATTGAAGAACTTTTAGGGTGTTTCCAAACTTAAAACATCCTTTCTAAATGTAATCTAAATACTTTGAAATTCATTAGTTTTAAGTGTGCCTTTCAATGGTTCTTATTAAACTTATATAGGATTGTGTAACTACAGTCTGTCACAACCCAGCCAGAACATTTCTTCTAGTTCAGAGGAATTCCTAATGGCTCCTTACAGTCAATCTCTTTTCCTACCCCAGACAACCAGTAATCTGCTTTCTTTCTTAATGGATTGCCCTTTTGGACATGTTTTATACTCTGACTTGCACAGCATACAATCATTTTGAGTTGTTCACTCCTTTTCTTATTGAGTTGTATTCTGTTGAATGGATAATTGTCTGTACTTTGCATGGATATTGTATGCAGGATATCATGGCAGCAGTGTCTGACCTCTAATTTCACTAAAGGGAGAGAGAAATAAGATCCATTGTCCAGGGCTGATTCCCAGGAGGTAGAGGTCAGGTGTGCCTCTCTCCAATCTTTTTACCATTTCTGACACCACGCTACCTCACATAACACTCTACTTTTCTTTTGGATTTGAAAATTTGTTGCCATGGCTGTACAGAACTTAGACAATACTTAAATTATGGGTGTATTCAGGAAGTTATAAGGTATGTGGTGGTGCTGTGAGATAAGTGTTGGACTGCTGCCTGCATGGCCAGCATTTCAAACCCATCAGCCACTCCATGCTCTTATAAAACGTAGTCCTGGACAGCCCTAAAAAGGATCGCTGAGTTAGAATTGACTTAATGAGAGTCAACAAACAAAAACCAAATTTACTGCCTTTGCTGTGATGCTCACTCATAGTAACCTTATAGGACAGGGTAGAACTGCCTCTGAGATTTTGAGACTAACTCTATTCAGGAGTAGAAACACAAGTTATAGTTTAGGAATTTCTTAGGATACCATTATTCTGTCAGGACAGCTTCCTTCTTAATGAGCTGCAGGCAGGCCTCTGCTCTGAGCAAGAGTACAAAGCTCTTTTGTAAGAGAAACACTATTCCAATGGGAAGCTTGGCCTGAAAGTGCCCTTGGGTCTACACTCCTAACTCCACTAAGTGCCCAAAGATACTCCACTCTCCCAGCAAGCCTCCCACCTGCAGGCCCTCAGCCTTCTTGCTCCCTGCTTCAAGATCCCCAGGGCTCTGTCTCGTGCTGATCTCCTGGTTCTGCTGCCACTGTTTCTCTGCTGCTTCTGCTGCTGCTGCTGCTGCTCACTGACTGTAGTGTCACACTTGTCACCTGGATCCAAATGGTTCTGAGCTCAGGGATCCTAGGTCCACAGAACACACTCCATGTCCAGCTCTTCTTTCTTGGTGGCCGTGATCCCTTCTTCCACCTCTGAGATGGCTCATTTTTAAGTCAAGGAGCCTGGGTGGCACTCTGATTAGGCATTGATCGGGCTGCTAACAGGAAGGTTGGCAGTTGAAACCCACCAACGGCTCCATGGAAGAAAGGTGAGGCTGCATGCTTTTGTAAAGATTTATACCCTCAGAAACCCTATGGAGCAGCTCTGCTTGGACCTATAGAGTCACTATATGTATGAGTCAATGGCAGTAGCTTTGATTATATTGAACAATTCCTTGGACCACTTGGAAGCAAACAATATGGCTGATCATCTGATTTTTCCTGCCTGCAGAACTGTGAAATAATTTCTGTTCTTATAAGCCACCTAGCTGGTGGTATTTTCTTATGAGAACCATGGAAAACTAATGTTCTTACAGTGCAGTGTTTTCTGATTTCTTTGCATAATACATTGTAATTTTTTGTTGAGAAACAACATTTTTAATACTCGTATGTAGCAACTCTGAATATCAACGCTTCATCTATATTATAGTCTTTGTTACTGCTATTTGTGGTAGTAGTAGTAGTTGTTTGTTTGTTTGGTGACTTTCCTGAACTGATATTATAGTCTATAGTCTTTGTCCTGTGTGACCACTGACGTAGCTATTGGTCAGCTAGTGATGTACAGAGATTTCTTACACTCGCAACCAAGAAGTGGTCTCCAGAGTTTTACAGGCACGTGATCTTTCATGACTCACCCAGGTGGCTTTCAGCTGTATTCGCCTGCACTTTGTGCTTACCAGAGCCTGAAGGCCCGCCAGTATGAAGAGCTCAAGTTTTTCCCATACATGTGTGCAGCCCTGGGTGTGAGTGTGACGACTGAATTTCCCAGTAGTATGTGGAAACTTTTCAAAGGCTTGCTCTTTAAAGCATGTTTAGCCTAGTCTTTCTTCACACATCTGTTGCTTGTCCACTTCCGTAGGCAGAAGGTTGAGAGGAGTTGCCTGTAACTATTTTCCACTAATGCCTCCTGAGGAGTTGCCTCAGCATTGGTGAAATGCAGGGCACCAGGGGATTTTGTTTTGCTCTCTCCTGTATATATCTATAACAGTATGGACTGTTATCTGTGGAATGGGACCCCAGGGGAGGGTAAAACACCAAAAAACTTTCTGTTCTTAACAAAATTCTGTGGTTTTTTTGATTAAACACTTTAATGTTGATAATTTCCAGAGTTCCAGAAAAGATGATCCTGATGGCTTTGTCAAGTTTTCTGTTACTTTTATGTAGGAATAGACTCTTGGAATTTCTTACCTGGCCATTTTCTCTAACATCTCTCTGTTGTTTGACTTTCATCCTACTTATGAATCATATTTTGTTGCTTGTTTTCTTGATTGAATGATGGACTTTCTGAATTTTCTGTTAAGAGTAGTTTGATGTCATAGTCTTTTAAAAGTAACATTTCTTAGTTCTTGGATTTGCATAATTAAATCACTTGGAATTGCTTCAATTATGTTGATGTTCATTTTTAGGGTCTGTTAGGATGGACCTATAACAGTCTTCAAAGGAGCCCAGGTGAGACAGTGAGCCCCACATTAAGCGGCTAGCCTTATGGTCAGCA